CTGCTGGGGTTAAACCACGACAACATACATGCAAACTGCACAGAGCACATCACAGTTATCCGGGATGGGAAGCGTAAACAAGAGGCAGAAATTCTGCACCCAAAGTTTAATAGCTCTTTTCAGGACATGTAACAAACAAAACTCAGCCTAGCCACTATGAAACACACATTAGCCTAACAGCTACTATGACTTCTGCAAGTCCTTTCCAAATGTCCCATGATGTGTTTAACAAGCATTTTGTAAAGAGCAGAAAAAATTCCTAAATTCTCACACATTACCCAGCAATCAATAAAACAGTGTTCCAGGTTAAACTTTTTGAAATGCAAAAAAAAAATAAAATCAAATCCATAATACAATGGTTTGTAACCTCATACTAAGATAGACTCTTAGGACACCAAGAATCTTCACAGTTGAACTTTGTCTGGAAAGAATCTAAATGTATAAAGGAATGAAAGACTAAGCTATTTCTCCTCTTTCTTAAAAAAATTAAATTGTAATAATTGGAGTTACTAAGGCTTCCAAAGGCAGAAACATCCGTTATAAGAGACCCACCCACTAGTGAGTTTAGTGCAAAGTTACACAAATTCTCCTAAAGTGAGGACGATCACATCTTTCTAAGCATGATTTCCTCAGCCAAAGCCTATTGGCTTCATCAACCCAAGCACAACTCAGCAGTGACAACCACACATAGGAAGAACAAGGCTACATAGTGGTTTGTCTTTTTGAAACCATGCCAAGGAAGAGAAAGAAGAAAACTCATTGTCACTTCGGCATCAATGTTAAAATGACCTGAATAAGATGATTCTAATAAAATGAGAAAAAATAAATTGCTACCCAGTAAGAAACACAGAGATCAGGTTTCTAGAAAACTGAGATGGCAAATTGCAGTTCTTTTGTAGAAATTGAGTTCTTGTCTTTGGCAAACAGGAACTTTTCCAAGTATTAGAGTATGGGATCCTTGAAAATTAGAGAAGAGTTTATGTGGCTTTTCTCTAGCTCACAGAGCTCCTTCATTCTGCCTCCCTGCTTTACAGTTTCTCTGACTCCAGAAGAACCTGCATGCTAACTTCTCTTGCTGTGGATGTTGCCACAGACAAGATCTTCTAAAAGAAGCTGTTGGAATCAAAGAAATAACACGAAAACTAACAAAACACTAAACCCACCAGTAACAGATAAAACACTAATTATGTAAGTAGTAGCTTGAGAATGTCAAGGCTTCCAAATGCACTAAGCATGCAAAGGTCAGCATTTAACACCCAAAATTATTTATCAGACTGAACACTCTTTGCACAGGAAGTCCTGTCCAGTATGCAAAGCACTGACAGGCTTCCATGAGGATGAAGTGTAATCACAAGCAACAGCAATATTACCTCTTAAAAGAAAACCCCTAACAAACAGAACAAAGAACCCTAACTAGGTGAGATGAACAGCGTCTCCAGATACTGAACTTGGGATTATCTTCCCAATTCTACAACCATGGCCACAGTTTTGGGAGAAGACAAGACACTTTAATAATGACTACTTAGAACTAAGGGTTTTGTAATTCAAATGTCAGGAATTCAGCTTCTCCAATGACATTTGTGGGAAGCTATAGCTCATTAATCACTGGAAAGCACTAGAACATTCACTTAGGCTCTGATTCCAAACTGCTTAAAGTTACAGCCCACAGCCAAAGTACTCATGTGTGAGAGATGTGATGTTTAATGATGGGAGTGCCCATCAGTCCAAGAGAGACCACGATACCTTGACACAACAAAATTCTCATATTTGACAACCAGAACATCAGCTTTGATCACTTCTCTACAGAAAATATCTGAGTTAATACCGAAGTAACTGAAAATAGAACTGGAGTCAAATTTCTGTTTTAATCACATGGAAATACCTGTAGGTGTATTTAACAGACCCAAACCCTAGACAGGACTCAATGCACATGGTCACTTGCTGACAAGTCTCAGCCCTGACGTCAGCTGAAGCCACTAATATCCAAACAGAACTCCCTGAAAGAAAACACTGGAGCCACAACAGAGCAGGAGGAAGATGAACTTGCAGATGATGAAATGCCAGATTTCTGGACTTCAACCACTGAAACCTTCACATGCAGATCGCCCTATGAAATCAATTTCTCCCAAACCAAGGTCCTTACTATCATATTAGGAAGCTGAGACCCAGTAGAGAAAGTTGCAAAAAAGCTACCTTCAAAGGAGACAAAGAGAAGAGAAAAACAAATAGAAGTACATTGTACTAAAGAAGCCATGTACCTTGCTTGCAACTCAACCCAGAACATAGGCAAAATTAAGTTCCCCCCACGTAAAAAGCAAAACCAGAATTCTGACACTCACTTGGCATTTGGATGGTTACGTGAAATTTTCTTCAGCTCAATCTCACTGTCACACGTCATGATGTTTATCCCAGCTTTTGCTGCATACTTGAGCTGAGAAGCTTGCTTGCAAGGATTTGTGTATATGATGTTTTCAGGAGAAATGCCCAGGTCTTGTACCAATGCCATTTCAGACTGAAAAACAGGAGCATGCCAGAGCTTGACAAAGTCCAGTACATTATCTTGATGGAATTTTTATTAGATGTGCTCTACCACTGTACTAAATAGTCAAATGCACTAAAGATAAAAATATCCACTGCCACTAGGGCAGAAGTACAAATTTCCATCAGCCACTTACAAAGGAGTTCACAGATTATACTACTTAGAATCATGGCACTTAACACAAAAAAGATGATTTTAGAACAGCTGAAATATGGAAGAAAACAAGGCACACAGGTAAGAAAAACTTACTTTACTGGAACATGCAAATCCAACACCAAGGGTTCCAAGAATTTCGAGTACACCTGGAGTAGAATTGCATCTTACAGGATAAAATGGTTTTATTGGTGCCATCACATTCTGCCATTGTATGTTATTCCTTACAAGCTTTCCAAGATCACCAACATAAAATGCTTTTTTTCCAGTCTAGAAAAGGAAGAACAGGAAAATAAAATGTCTGAAATTGTGGGTATGCTGTCAAAACAAACAACCCATGAAACAAAGCCTTAAAGAACTGTGTACCTTTATTCACCCTGCTCTTAACTTTTAGATTTGACCTTGGATGATGCTTGCGTTTTCACTTTTACCTAGCAATTTGAACTAGTAAAAAAAATAATCGAAGGGCATACCTACCACTTCAGAGATATTATGAAGACTATTTAGACCTTATTCTGAGATTCCTCAATAAGCGATTCTACTTAAATGCCAAACACTGATTTTATCTAAAAATACAGAATAGGTTACAAATCTCTTTCAGCTTTTGAGAAGTCTGTGACTATTTAGAGGAAGAAAATCCACTGGGATGAAAGCTTCCACAGTCTCAACATAATTTATGGCTTATTATACCAGGAATAAAATCTAATGCACTCACATTATTTTAACATCTAGCTAATAGCTCATTTTACTGAAAATCTGTTTGATAGTATTTTAAGTTCAGGAAGTCAAGTTTCAGACTGTTCTCGACTTCTTGTGAAGCATAAAGTTCAAACAGATTTTAAAAACTAAAATCAGTGTGCTAAAGATGGCAGAATCAAGTATGTAATCTTTCAGAAAATGCAGACACTTTTCTGGAACTGTTAAGCTCCCCTTGTGCATCTGTTACCACAGTCATTCTCAATATCAAGTCATGACGTGGGTGTAATGGATCAGAATCCAAACACATCATTCTGTATTTGTTTATAACGTGCACCCAGTAAAATTCCCGTAAATGAACAGCCTGATGTATGCCAATTAAAGACCATACAAAGTGTGACTGGTCTGAATTAAGACTGTACTTCAAATGTTAATTCTATCACTTGACTTTCCCAGATAAGAAAAACTGTTGTGGCTTATTGTATACAAAGTCTTTATTTCTGTTTAAAAAACACAAATAGAAATTCCATCGGGTGGAAGCAT